GGGGGGTCCTCTTTCAGCCGACCAAAATGTAATGGGTGGCACCCCGAATAATGAGCCCGCGGAGCAAGCGGAGCACGCGGAAGGGAAGGCGCCGGAGGGGAGCGGCACACACTGGAGATGCGCCTGAGTGAGGCTGGAGACACAATTATTCCAGCGCTCACCTGTTATTACCCACCCTCCCCGCTGTCCCCTTGTCCTTCTTTATTTCCACAATACTCCTGATATCACGCACTGCTCAAAAAAAAAAGTTACCGCGCGTGCGTGAACATCGCGGGGCTGGGTGGGCTGGGCCGTGGCGAGCAGACGGAAGCTATCAGCAGCGAGAGCAAGAGTAAAATGCCAGCTTCCAGCGTAGCAACGTCTTATGGGAAGTTTTACCCCTGAGAGACTTGTATGGCACAGATCCGTAACCCTGGAGTGACAGTCAATGTCTGTTACTGAAGCAGCTCGTATAGATGTCTGTACTGGGTTTCAGTGTTATTTTCTGGTTTTTAACTACAGAATTGTAAACTCAGTGAACTTAAAAATATTTATTGTAAGGCCGGGCCCAGTGCGCAATGACTATATCGGAACGATAACGTTTCGATGTCGTAGTCGACAATGTATCGAAATCAGAACGTTAACGACACAAAATTGGTTCTGATTTCGATACATTGTCGACTGTCGACTATGACATCGAAACGTTATCGTTACGATGTAGTCACTGGGGGGGACTTAAACGCATGGCAAGGTGATCCAAACTTTCTAAAGCAGGAATATTTTCGCCGTGCAAAAAATAATAAAAATAATATTGCATCCTAAGTGGTCGTTAGTTATAACTTTGTGCTTGGAGCACTAATTCACTCTGTCATAAATGTAGTCTAATTATTTTTGAACATTTTGCACGTAACTGACTGGTCTCTTATTTACTTGATGTCGAGGTAGGTACTTATTCAGGTTGATTGTAATTTTCTTTCCAACTGGACTGGAGCTTTAATTTGCCGAGTACACGGTAAATAAAGATTCAACCCCCACAAGCTTCAAAATTCATACAAAAATGGTAATATAATTTTTTTATCAGAGCAGAGATGATTCCATTTTGCGAGGGGCGGCGAGGGGGCAATAACTCCGAATTCAAGTGTACACATGATTCCCGGAATCCATGATTCCCGTTAATTCCCATCGATTCCCGTCATGATTCTCGTTGATTACCGTTGATTTACGCCGTGATTCTCATTGATTCCCGGTGATTCCCGGGCCGGTGTGTACACATGATTCCCAGAGTTATTGCACCCTCGCCATTTTGTTTAATCAAAATATTGATTAAAGTGCGCACGACTCACTATTGTATACAATTACATTTTATCCACAATTTGGTACGTAGAGAGTAATATTTAAGCACACAATAGGTCATTAATGACTATGTGTTTTGTTTCGCCTTTCAACTTCAACGATGCAATTGAGAAGAAGGACAGTCCTTTCTTCGATGTCAGAGAGGCCAGAAGATTCCACTGAAACAATTATTCATTAATGTTATTCACGAGTCTTAAAATGAATATGCGTTCCTCATGTACTCGTGGGTGCTTCTACAATAAACGTTTCGTGAGGTAACGTGAGGTACAGCTGGGAGACAAACGTTCTCCTGACCGACGCTCCGCTCCCGCCCTTCGACGCTCTGGGCGCGGGCCGCCGTCTTCACACAGCTGTTTGGCGGGCTGGCCTATCCAGTTCGTGGCAGGCGCCATGGCATCTCACTTAAAATGTCCGAGGACAATTATTGTAACTGGCACCGGATCCGGATCGACAATTAGTATCACGGAAAAAAAGAATTAGTTGTCACAACTAATAAATTAGCTAATTTTGGGATAGACAAGAAATTCGATGTGGCAGCTAATAGTTGGTAGCAACAGACAAGAGTTAGTTGCCAGAGCGAAGCTGTCGCTGCAGGAGCCAATCGGTTCGTTCTGACCAGTTCTGACAGCGAAACACCCATTTAGTAGTCAGAACGAACAGATTGGCTCCTGCAGCGACAGCTTCGCTGTAGCAGCTAACTCTTGTCGGTGTCGGTAGCAACCAACTATTAGCTGCCGCAGCAAATTTGGGATTAGCTATCCCAAAATCAGCTAATTTGTTAGTAGTGAGGACTAATTCCTTTTTTCTGTGTAAGTATCTAGGACAATGTTGCAACTATAAACTTATGCACACAAAAGTCCGGTGCTAGTTACAATAATTGTCCTTAGACAGTAAGGAGTGTAGCGTTGTCTCGTGAAACGTTTATTGCGGGGGACAACGGACAAGTTGATAGTACAAATAAACGATAAAAATGAACCACCTTTTTTTGAGCACGTGTCGCTTATTTCTTCAACAATGGAGTTGTCCGGAAATTCAATTTGCAGGAATTTTCTGAAATTGCTCTGGTTGAATCCATTATTATCTTCGTTGAACTGAAAATGTAACGTTTTAATACCATATTGCGAAATATTTTAATACGATTTCATTCCTAATTACTTACGACGTTGTACCCGCGAAAAAGGCACATCATCAACTTCTAAAATGAGAAAAACCATTATGCGTAAACATTTTGGAAAATCGTCACATGGTGTCATGCAATGAGCGATAAAGTCACAAGGTCTTTGATTACCAATGTTTTCTTGGGTATTATACCGTTTCCATTAGCTTGTGGAGATTCATTGTCTGGTGAAGTAGATGGAGCTTTACCAAAACAGAACAACAAAAGAAAATAAAAATACGAAACAGACAAGCAATAGATTTCTTCCAGCAAACGTTTTTTTTGAATGCCCAAACAGGGTAAGAGAATTTTTTTAAACGAAACTAACTCACCCTCCAGGTTCTTTGCAACGGCAGCAGCACAAGCACGCATCATATTCCGTTCAGACTCCCCCATGGTATCCTATGATCAAAATAGTTTTTCGTATCACATTTTGAGATATTATATGAAGGAACTGATTAAATCATGTCGTCGTAAATTTACAAAAGTTTTGTAAACTCGAATCATAATTTAAGTTGTAAATTTACGAGAGCACATTTTTTACTCCACAATGCATTTTAGGTCGATACGTACTGCTATTCTTACTATTGCAAATTGTAATTTTACAACTTATGTCATGGAAAATTTTCCTGTAAACCTACCTACTATTTTTCACAAGTGTAATGATACAATTGGTATAATAAAGCATTCCGGTAAAAATAAAATAGAAAGAAGAAAAGTGCGCAAGTAGCAGGTAAATGAGTTGTGAAACAAGTTCAATAATCCACCGACAATATTTCATGTTGATTAATTTCCATTATTTTCAAATCAACCATTCCGTCCGCAATAACAAACGCACTAGGACAAAGTTTGGTTCTTCTGTGTAGGCTTCACTATCGCTCATACAGCAAAGTCTTGCGATTCCACCCGCATCCATTTTGAACAGCGGTTCGGAAATTGATTTGAAAGAGCTGCTCCGAGCTGCGGCGCTCGCTGGAGCCCTCGAGGCCCAACCTCACCTCGTCCGCTGCGGCCGCGACGGCGAGGGCCAGGAGCAGGAGGGTTGACAAAGCGCTCCTCATGGCTGCGCGCAGTGCGTGGTACTGTGTCTATGGTCAGCGCACCACTCCGCTCCACTGCCCGCGGCGAGGCGACTCCGTTCCCTTTAAAAGCCTCCCGCGGGGTCTCCTGCTTGACGCGACACAATAGTTGAACATGATGGGGACTTCCCGGATTGAGCCGCGGGCCGCTTGTCATGTACCAAGGACTGCACTTTCTGTCGGTAATGCTTCTCCGCACTGACCGCGGTTGTTTCTGTTTGACATGTCAGTAATCTACGGACGCGACAGTTTATAGTCATACACTTCCGATCTTCGCGATCTGCTAACACAGACCGCCTGATGTGTAGGGCATGTTCTCATTGTACCTGATTATGCAACAAGGGAGGCTTACTTCTAGAACCAGAAGGAAAGAAATTCGTCAGGATCACGTCCAGTTGACGTCACTTTTCAAAATTTAGTCTTGACAAGTTCACTGCAAAAACAAACGTGCCACATAGCACTCTTTCTGTGCAATGGGGCTAAACACTAAATGTTAATGTACCATTTACGACCTTTTATGTGTATTATGCGGGTTTGCCTACTCGCAACAGTTTCCGTAAGGTGCCATTGCGCCTAGGGTAGGTAAACCCACAACACTTTGTGTCGTCGTAGCCTAAAGTGCGCGTTAAAGTAATGGTTTTGATGATCTTTATACGCGTCACCACTGTGTCACCTTTAACGCGCTTCTGTACACGCACGCGTTTCGCTCTAATCGGAACACATGGTAGGCTACCTCCCTTACATTAACAGTATTGCTCCTCTCCATTGGCGTCACACCACCGACTAGTCATCTGCATAGACCTTTCAGAGCTTCATATGCCCTCCTGGGGTTGGGACTACATGGACATTGGACATTGTTGACCACACAATGTATATGATGGCTGCATTAATTTAATGCACATGTAGTGCGCGTTACGTGCATTTTCTGCCTCACTATGTGTACTTTTTCAGCGATTTTTTTCTACGCACACATTGAAACGCTTTCAATGCTGTGGCGTATTTGGTACAAAACCAACTGTGTACAGAGTACCCTTTTTCTTGTGTGTACTTGAAAGCACACACAAGGAAGGAAGTGTGTGCCTCGCATGGTACTCATTTGGAAGTGTGTGCTTCGCAAGGCGCTCACTCACTAGGAAGTGTGTACTTGCCATAGCGCTGCGCTATGTGACGCGTACACTGTACACACTAAGAAGTGTGTGGTACGCACGCACTTATACAGTGCCTAGTGTGTGCCATCAGGCTCAAACTTCCTTGTGTGTGCACTTAAGTACGGACAAGGAAGAGTGTACTATGTACACAGTTGGGTGGGTTTATAGTGTATTGCTTGACCAGCCGTTATAGAATTCAGTGGTTAGAAATACCATTTCTTTATTTCGACACGCCTGCGATATACAACTTTCATTTCATCGCCGCGTTGTCCGTTGGCGTTCCATCTCTCTCTGCTCGTGTTCCGAAATGCACTTGACGAGAATGACGGCTCTATTTTCAGGGGGCTCCTCAGATGACTCCACTGCAAAATGCGTTTAATTTACATTAAAATATTTGGTTGTTTTTTTTCTAACGTTTGTTGACGTAGTCAAACAAAATATCACCTCTAGCACCGCACTCATCTCTCACGGCATCAATGAATAACTGTATTTCTTTCTGTGACTTTCCTCCGTAGTCGTTGAGGCTCAAACGTTTCTTCAAATTTACCATTGAAAATTTGCCAGAATCGTCAAACTGTAATTTAATGCATGTAATTTAATATTTTTTCAAGCAATGTCTAATGAGTGAGAATGGTTGACAACGCTTAGACGTTAAAAGTCGAAACAACGTCGATTTTTTACTTTGACCATAAACATCTAAAGTGACGTCCATCCGACGTCTACACTACATTGCATCTACGTCAAAGGCTTCTCACTGGGCTCGTCTTATGTAATTTACACAACATACAGTTTGGAATCTAACAATTAATTGCACTGGCGAAACAAAGGTGCTAAGTCGTGCTTTTGCATGGGTGCTTTGGAAATTTTCAGATAAGAGCCCCTAAATGCACTATAAAGGGTCCTGAAGGTGCTAAAAGTTGGTGCTTTTGATAGTTTTAGCACCTCTGTTTTTCCAGTGTAAGTATATACATACAACTCCACTGCCGCGTAAGACACAGAGATATAATTTCTGAAATCAAAAATGATTTAACGTCATTAAAAGTGTTCTTCTTTTTTATGTAATTTGTGTTGATGTACTGACCGGGGCGAGAGTGCTATCTTGACTCAGTTTACCACCAGGACGGCCTACATCATCTACGACCAAAAAGAACAGAGCATCAGTGCGATTGTTGAGAATGTTCTGCTCTCAGAGGAAGTGAACGTACCGCCAGTGAGGCCCAAAGACGACATGCATTCCTCCTTGATTCTACGAAGTTCTGCTTGGTCAGCCCTTTTCTGTGTTGATTGTCGATAGTTCAGAATCAACAATGAAAACTACATTTTGTTTTACAGGTTAAACCTAATTGAAATATCGATATAAGAATGATAATGATGTCTGTGGCCGAACGTTTTTAGTCGCACAGCTCACCTCGCCAAACGCCAGACCCAACAAGAGTGCGGTCGCAGCGAACGTCAACTTGGGCTTGACGGTGACGACGGCTCCGGGACGCGGCAGCCGGCGCGTCCGAATGCGGACAGCACGCCTGCGGACAGCTTGCATGCGAGCGGTATGAGAGGCGAGGGGACTCTGTGCTGGTTAATGGCGTGCTCTTAATACCACGGTGCACTGCTGCGCGAGATTCATCGGCTGATTGAGAGGACGATATTGTTGCTGACGTCAGGAGCGGATGTAACTGCTTACGTGTAGGCGTATGCCCTCTGTTGTGAACAGAATTCAACAATATAACGTTGAGCGAAGTGGCCTTCGTCAGCCTGACTGTAAGCAGAAAAAAGAGTCAGAGAGGGTCGTCCCCCGCTCCCCCTTTCCTTTTTTTCTCGTCGAGGCCACGCATTTTGACAGCGGAAAAAATACTAGGGCGCTTAGTTGAACCGGAGCGGAAGTTAACCAGGTAACTGGGTGACCTCCGGTACGGCTCGGAAATTTCGCCAAGCAGTGAGTTTTCCACTTCACTAATATCTTTGAAAATAGTTGATCCAATGTAACTTCTTGTTGCCTTATCAGCCACATAGGGGCAGCATTTCTTCGTGTGTTAACTATCAACTATCGATGTTGATACATCGGTAAATGACATTCGACTACAAACGCCATCCAGCTGTAGCTAGAAAAGAACCGACTGTTTGGATTCTATTCAGGCACATTATCTTTTTCATCCATAATACCGCACTGGTGACGGACCTTGAGCGACGTCAATCGTCCCACGGGCGTCAGCAGTCCCTGTACGTCGGTGCTCGCAGTGCGGCACAGGTTCGGCTCTCGTCCTCGCACCGCACTCCGCCCGGACGGCAGGCAACTCAACGTGCGCGAGAGGATTGCGGCGTGGCGTCCGCCCGGGGTGTATCGCCCGTTCTCAATAGATTGAACTGATGTTTGGGGGATTTTTTAAAGAGAAGTGTATTTTCATGGCATGTATAATGTATTACATATACAAAAAACTCACACACACACACACACACGTTTACAGCTCAAGCAGTAACAAAGTTGGGTGGTGTCAGTTGGCACCCTTATTTGCCCCCTTGCACTTGTAATGGCACGTTTCGGTGCACTTGAGGGTGCAGTCCCGGGATGACCGCTCATCGTTGAATGTCGATCGACACTTCATGGCGCAGTAGTCGGTGCACTTGATTTGGCATGGCGAAGGGGTCGAGCTGTCAACGGACTGGGACTGTAAATGGGGAGACGGGGGAATAAGCGGCGGTGAGATTGGCGGCCACGTAGACGACAAGTGAGTGAGAGATCGGCCTGCGAGGTGCGAGTGCCAACCAAATCACTTAAATCCACATCGCAATTCTCGTAAAAATGCGCACACTTCTATATCAAGTCTAAGACTGTTACACTTTAGCTCAGCAAGA